GGTGCTACATAACACACTTTCAGGGAAAGTCACGGACTGGGAGACTTTAATATATTTTTTTAAAAAGTTACATGGCACACACACACACACACACACACACACACATCACTTCACCCCCCTAATGATGTGTGGCCTGTCAGAGACACGCAGCCAAATGACACGCAGGACTACAAAAGCCTTCGTCCGAATTTCTCTGTCTGCGCAACTCCCTGCAAAACAATAACTGGGATTCAGCAGCTGCAAATTGCACTAACATTTCCCCATTCTCTCTCTGTGAATTATTAATGAGAGCCAAACCAAAAAAAAGACACAAAAAAAGGAAAAAGTGGAGAAGGTGGGGTGGGGGGAGAAATATCCATGCCCGAGCATTGGAGAATGCTATAAAGCCGTAATTATGCCAGAGAATGAGAAATGGAACAAAGTTGTCGGAGCCAGAAACTGAGACTAAGAGCTGGAAATGTAGAGCTCAGAGGCTGAAGAGAAGACGTTTTATTACATGTGCAAAAAGCCAAAGGATCTGCAGGATCGACACAATTAAAAACCGTGAGGAACAACACATTAGCATCCGTGTCTGTCAGGTTTGATTTGAGAGCGAGGGAAGAGATATGAGAGGAGAAGGAGAGGTCAAAACGCCCCAAAATCTACAGCTTCTCACTCCAAATGTGTTCGCTCTTTCAGCGAGACTCAAATCAATTGTTGCACCAAATGTAGATTAAAGTATGGAGTGTATCTTGAGAGCAGCAACACATACATGTTTTTATAATATTTGCGTATCTGATTGTCTCCTATAAAACATAAGATAACGGTATTATCTCACACACTTAATGACAAATGAATACTATTAAAATTAGTATGTATACAGCAACAAGTTGTTTTCACAGAAGACAGAGATAAGAAAATAACGTAATGATAAAATGTGAGATTAAACCCAAAAAAAAGAACCACAAGTAAAAACCTCTTGCGTCTCTTAGAGATATAGATACATATGTATGCAGAGGGGAACATAATAGCTTAGATAAATAAATACACATTTATAAAGAGGGTAAAAGATCCACTGAGGCGGATAGTGGTTTTTATTAAATATCAGATAAAGTATTAATATTGAATGGTTAAAATACTAAAATGCAAGTCAAAGTGCTACATTCAAAAGAATATACTCAGAAGTACACAAGCTATGACCTTTTTGATTATGGGGAAATGTTTTATATTGCAAATCTTTTAATGTGTGTACAGTACAGTAGGTAGTGTGCTGCATTTAAATGCTGATAACATGTTTTTATGGTAAGTTGGACTTTAATATATTTTCTTTTACACTCTTTTATTCAAGCCTTTCAGCAGACAATGTGTGTTCGGAGCAAATGCATCATCAGATTACCCAAAAAAAAATTGTTTAACCGAAACGTTTGTGTATAAAAATGACCAAATATTGTTGTCCTAAGCCTGTCAGCTGTCAAAAGGTTAGGGTTTTTCAGATGTAGAAAAGATTACATTGAGATACACACACACACACACACACACACACACACACACACACACACACACACACACACACACACACAATGAGGAGGAGGCAAAGGAGTCCCTCGGGGATCGGGAACCAACCGTGTGTGTGTGTGTGTGTGTGTGTGTGTGTGTGTGTGTGTGTGTGTGTGTGTGTGTGTGTGGGTCATGTGATCATCAAGTCTAGAGTGTGATTAGAGTAGACCCTAACATGGCAGGCATATGTGATTGTTTATCATGTCATTATAGAACCATTTTATTCTTAATTAGTCATAAAAGGCATTTTATTCAATAATCTAGGAATAAGGCTTACATCCAATCTGTTGTTGTCAGTTGTCAGCGTTGAGCAAGCCTATTTCTTGACGTTCTTCTACAAAGGACAGGCAAGAGAGAAATCCAATGGCTGTTCAATTCCGAAAGACAGAAAACACCAGATTATTAACTCTTGTTGTTTCCATTAATGTGTCCCTAGAAGAATTTATCCATATACTTCCCATAAAAGAATAAGTTGAAAAAAGGAACATAAAAGTTGTACTCTTAGTCTGTCTTGATGGACTATTTTCTTGAAATCAAATCCACAGTTTAATAGAAAAGTGTGACCACTACAGAGTCTTTTAAGAAAACGTTGGTTTTATGGTTTGAATTGAGCATATTTGTACATGCATATATATCTTGTTTAACAGCAAAACACAATTCAGATTGCAGTCAGTACACATGATGTGAGGTACTGTAATCCAAAGGATAATTCAAATTAAGTATTTGATGGTTCTGATATTGATTTTTTAGTGCAAAAAGTTTAAATAAATGTGTTATTCTGTGTGTGTGTGTGTGTGTGTGTGTGTGTGTGTGTGTGTGTGTGTGTGTGTGTGTGTGTGTGTGTGTGTGTGTGTGTGTGTGTGTGTGTGTGTGTGACTCAGGGTTGAAGCGGTCCTGCTGTTAAGACGTCCTGCAGTGTTTCCTGGTGCTGCTCCGCCATCTAGTGGCTGCTGACAGGAAGTGACAACATGAGGTAAAAGCCCATTTCAGAATAATAGATATGATATGTTTTATAATGATTGATCATGAAAGTGTTCTCAAAGCTGGTAAAGGTGCAGCTAGTTTGAATGACTTTGTATACTGCAGGGTAGCTTGTGGATTTACTCCAGGTGGAACTAAAGTCTGATTTAACACTTGGTTATATTTCACATCATTCATCCACATCTGTAAAGGTATTAAATACATGTAGTGGAGTAAAAGTACACCTTTTACCTCTGAACTGTAGTGGAGGAGCATAAAATAGAAAATACTCTTTTAAAGTAAAAGTATCTAAAAATGTACTTAAGTACAGTATTTGAGTAAATGTACTTAGTTACTTCCTAGCTCTGGAATCAGGTGTAGTTTTGTACACACGTGTGACTACATACAAGCAGTTAGAGGAGTCAAGTTCAGTAAGAAAGGACCAAATATGGAACATGTGTAAATATAAGTAGAAACATTGTGATTTAAAGGATATAAAAAGTTGTCTTAAAAATGCACAAAACTTGAATTTAAAGTCAAAAAAGCTTTACTTAACAGTTACTGATGGATTGAGATTATTAGGTAATGCAAAATGTAAATCAATGATCAAAAAGGCAAAAATCAGTGATTTATTGTTAAAGAATTCATAATTTAGTATGTTGAAACAACATAGGTGGGAAAATGAAAGTGTGGTGTGTACAAAAGAATTGAAATGTCCTAGTTTGTCCCAGAAAACAAGTGATAGTATACTTGTATGATAGTATGACAATAAAGAAAACAAATGTTGTTGCTCCAAGGTGAATATCCAGTTTCCTGGTGCTGCTCCGCCCTCTAGTGGCTGCTGACAGGAAGTGACATCACGAGGTTTGGAGTGAACAAATCAAACCCCTTTTAATGTGCAAAACAATCCATAAATATATACAGTCAGAATCAGGTTTATTGACAAGTAGTTTTACACATACAAGGAATTCTCTTTGGTGTATTACGGTGCCTACATAAAAGCAGGAAGAGGAATTCAGTTAAGGAAAATAAGGAGCAAATATGGAACAATTGTAAAAAGTACTTGAAAAGGTATAATTAATATAAAGGACATCAGGATTTATTAAACTCTCTCTTAAAAAAAAAAATGTTGGCAATATTATAATTAAAAGTAGAAAAGCTTCACAGTTAAAAAAGTTAAAGCATTGAACACACATTTTTGTATTGCTTAGCCTTCTTCTGTATTATTGTATGTGTTTAAAGACATTTTCAATAGTGTTTGAGTAATTAGAATCCCCAGATTAAATATTATCTGTTAGTTTTCATACTATAATCTTTTTTCAGTACTTAGTTCTTTATTTATCTTGTGATTAGAGGAAATAACAAAAACATACTTGAGTCAATAAGGGTAGAAAATGCAACCTCTTCACTTTTTCCGTGAAGTGAAAGTGAGCATTTCTGCCAACGTAAACCTCTGTGTATGCATGCACCTGTGTGTGTGTTTGCAGTGTGTGTGTTTTAAAGCTCCTGGCACTCCTGTCTCCTCCTCTCAGGGTTCAAGGTCGC